AGGGGGTCAGTGAGGGAAAAATGGGGACATCTATCATACTTTCAACAATAAAGATAAATTTTAAAAAATAAAAAGTGTGAGAAAAAGGAAAGACAAATGATTAATTAAAAAAAGGCAAGAATAACGACTGGAATCTAAAGAACTAGCTGTTATTGAGAAATGGACTCAAGTAATGAAAGAGAAACTACAGCATCATGGGGTGGGCAGTAAAAGTATAAGGTAGATGTTTATTTCAATCATTTCTGAAGATATTACTGTGTTTGAGTAGTCGATATTTATAATTTTAACCACAGCCCATCATGGAAAGGGCGTATTTTAATTGCATTGTAGAACTACCAAAGGTTATGTGCTTCATATATTCACACACCAAGACAAAAGAATATGTAATCCTTTTAAAAGTACCTTTTAAGTTTTCAAGGATTAATCTTTATTTTAGAAAATTAACTCATTTAGAGTTCACCAATCTCTTATCATTTCAGTTAAGATGCCATTATGATTTTATTTTTTTTGTATGAAAATGAAGTTGTCCTCCCATCAAGTGTTCCTAATTGCATCTGGGTGATTTTTTAGTCACCCCGACTAGAAATGTCAGCATGATGTTTAACCTATCCTTTTTTTCTTGCTGCCCACTTCTAGTTATTTTCTCTTCTGTCAGTTCTGACAGTTTAAATATCCTGCCATACACTCCTTGCATTCTCCCATTACCCAGTTCAAGCTTTCATTACTTTTTATGTGGGTTTTTGCATTTACCTCAATTCATTTCAGTAAACATTATGCAAGTACCTTCTGCATCTTTGCCTTGGGTTTCCTACAGTGCCTCTCTCTTACAGGTAGCTAAATTAAATGCCTCTAGAAGCCAAGTTCAGGAGTGATAGGGAAGGTACTGTAGTGAATTCAGTGCCTGCCTATCTGTGTATTTACTGAGATCTGAATTAAGGGTGCATTATTGCCACACTTTTCAAATCTTTAAGAGAAGGTGGAAATTCATATTTTTATGTGAAATCTTAACATTTCTTCACCTCTGTTCTCGATACTTCTCCCACAAAAAGAAGTTTGACATTGCATTTTAATATATTAAAGACTGAGAAGTCCTACAGTAAAATTTGTTTAAGACTCTGGACTACTTGGTCTGGCCTAAGAGACTTTTTACCAACTGACTCCATCCTGCATGTTGATGCTAGAAAGAATGAGCTAGATACCCTCTCATTTCTGGTGTTTAGTTGGCTTATTCTCTTAGCCTGTAATGCTCCCATACTCTTGACCTCATTCCTCACTCAATTCATCTGATCCTGGCACATTGTGGTCTCTTAATTAATAGCTTTCATATCTTCTGCTGCTCCGGATAGGGACATTACACTTAGTACTTTGCATATAGTAGGTATTTAATACATGTTTTTTAAGATTAGGCTATTATATAAAGTCTGCATTGATTCTATATTTGTAAAAAAATGATTTAAAAACATGTAATTCAAGTATATAGAAATAGTCTGGAAGGATATTTACTGTACAAGATGTTAACAGTGGAATTATAACTATTTTAAAACTTCTTTTGACTTGTCTGTATCGTTATGTATAGGCATATATTGTTTTTATAGTGTAGAAAATTGCCTATAATTTAAAAATATTGTTCAATTTAATTTTTATTTTTAAGATTTTGTTAGGTAAATGAAACATCTTCAGCCAGACAAAATAAATAGTAAAATTTTCTGAATACTGTATATCTGTATTAAATATGCATTCACATGCTGCTGAATGCTAAAAATGCTCAGAAATAAAGATAAGAATTGTAATAAGATCATTATTTGGATAAAATATTATTAGGACAGGTTGTAATACTGTTAAGTGACAATAAACTTGTAATAAAATACTCATATGGGATTATTGTGACTTGTTTTTCCTACAAGATTACAGATAGGATAGTTGAGGAGAGCCACAGGTAAATATTAAGCTCTGTAAATATAATAGTTTATGTAAATATGTAGTAGTGTTCTTTTAATTCTCAGCATAAATTTGAAAAAGCAGCATGAAATCTAATTAAAATTTTTTCCTTTTCTCTTTAAGGAATCAAGGAAGGACTGAGGTAAGATTATTCCCATTTAAATTTTATTTAAAACATGAGATTATTTTACTATGCATTAGTGATAGTAAAGAGAGGGTGGTGTTTGTATTCTGGAAAACTCCACATCAAACTAGTAGCTAATGGTGAAGAACACATAATAGTATAAACACCACTCTCGTGTGAATGAATGGACTTCTTTCTAGTTCATTCTTAGCATTTTTCTACTTTGACCTAAAATATCCCCTCTCTCAGTACTTATGAAACTTAATATTACTTCAGTAATATTTTAACATTATTTATTGTAGTAGAGGCATTTGATTTGGATTTTTGAGGGCTTTAGATCTTGACTCATTAAGTTCAGGACATAATTTATGGTACCTGGCACACAATAGAGAGATATTAAATAAATACTTCATAATCTTCCTAAATCCCTTCGATGTAAAATGTGATATATATATATATATTTTTAATCCTAATCTGAGGATATTTTTCCATTGCTTTTCAGAGAGACTGGGAGGGAGAGGGGGAGAGAGGGGGAGAGAGAGAGAGAGAGACAGCGCGATAGCAATCTCGGGTGCGCCGAGGAAGTCCCCTTGGTCAAAATTGAACTCGGGACCCTTCAGTGCGAGGGCTCACACTCTAACCACTGAGCAAAACTGGCTAGGACTAAAATTTGATATTCTTTTGGGGAAATCTAGTATATAGTAAAAATAATTTTGAAAGAATGCCTGCTATATCTTTTTATTCTAAACCTCAACGCTGAGTTATCCTTGTAAATAATTAGTTGTATTTATGAAAATAGTCAAAAATTAAACAGCACCTTGTACACATACAGTAATCGTTAAGAACTAAAACAGAAATGTATCCTCTGCTTATGGGAATGTTTAAGCTTTCTGAATAGCTTACTTTTCCCCCTTCAAGTACAGTCACTTTATTAATACACTCATTCAGCAAATACTATTTCCCTTCTATGTGCCAGGTACGTTTTAGGATATAGATATGTATAACATATGTATATTTATATTTATTTATTTAAGGATATAAATATAACAAGGCATGGTCTCTTGACCTCAAAGAACTTAGGGGTAAAACTTGTATCCTTATTTTGGAAATAGAATTTCTTCAGCCATAGATCAGAGAAAACATTTGAAAGATATTTCTATTTATAATGGTAGATTAGCCCCATTATTCTGACAAATGGGAATAGAATCTGTCTTTTTATGACTGAGTATTGAAAGAATTATGGATAAAGTTTAAAAAATGCTTAAATGACTGGAAGAGATTCACATTAAAAAAATTATTTGATTTATAATCAGAGTTTTTGTACTCCTGAATACAAAATTTTATTGTAATGAGCTCTGCTTAATGTGTCTATTAGGTGTCATTTACTTTGAATGAGGATCTTGCAAATATTCATGATATTGGCGGAAAACCAGCTTCAGTCAGTGCTCCTAGAGAACATCCATTTGTCTTGCAAAGTGTTGGAGGACAAACATTAACAGTATTTACTGAGAGCTCATCAGGTAAGTGAGAATAGAATTACTTAATGTGATTCCTATACATGTTGAATAGATTTTCTGTCTCAACCTGCACTCTAAGGTCATTACCAAGGCTGTTCCACCTATTGTTCTACCTCTGTTATTCATATCGTGCTCTCTTTACTGTGATTGATGAAATTTTGGCTGTTACTTGAATCATTTAATTTCCATTTGGGGCATAAAGAAATAGAACAAAGCAGATGGAAAAGTGGTGCACCAAGCTGTCTCCTAGGATGTTGAAGAAACAGTATTCTGAGTTTTGCCAAGATAAGGTCATCCTTGCCTGTTTTGATGAATTGATATTCAGCAACTATAAGTTGTTGTTTTTTGAAAAAAAGATGCTTGATATTAGGGAATATTTTAGTCTGAATTTTTGCTCTCATATGGTTTCTATTACTAAGGGCCTATGTAATGCAGAGATTAACTCTTTAAAATTGGTTTTGACTTCCAGGAAGCTCTGTGTAAAATATAGTTCAATTTTGTGTGTTTGTGTATTCAATGACTCAGGAACAAGTGTTTCAGCTTGTGAATTAAATACATAGAGAACTTTTTTTGCTGCATATGTATATGAATTTGTTTATTTTCATTGTTTCTTGGTTTTTAACCACTGAATTTAGAATATTGCTATTGAAGCAGCAAGACACCTATTTAAGTGGAGCTAATTTCTCATATATAATTCAAAAAGGTTTTTGGTGGTATAAAAGATCCATAATTTTGTTTTATCTTCATTAAACACTACAAAGAAAGCTATAGTATAGCCCGGCCAGTGTGGCTTAGTAGATAGAGCATCGTCCCATGCACCAAGAGGTCACTGGTTCGATTCCCAGCCGGAACACATGCTTGGGTTGCAGACTCGATCCACAGTAGGGGGCGTGCGTGTAGGAGGCAGCCAGTAGCTGTTTCTCTTTCATCCATGTTTCTGTCTCTCCCTCCCTCTCCCTTCTTCTCTCGTTAAAATCAATAAAAATATTTTCAAAAAATTATAGTACTTTGTTAAGAACATCATTGTTTAAAGAATGGAATATGCTCAGATAAAATTTTTGTGGTATCTTGGTTTACCAGTAGCTGCATAAATCGGGTTTTAAAAATTAGTCCTTTTCTTTTCCCCCCCATAAATAAAGAAACTAAAAAATGGTAAACTAGAACTTTTCAGTCATGTGATTTAATGTTAAAGAATTATTTTATTGCATTCTGATGCTATAATATTTTGAATAATTTATAATTTAGTATTTATGGGAGGTAGAAAATGTTAAACACATGCATTTTCTGCCTGGTCTGTGTGGCTCAGTTGGTTGAGCATCATCCTGTGCATCAAAAGGTCACCAGTTCGATTCCCAGTTAGGGCACACACCTAGGTTGTGGATTTTGGTTCCATCCCTAGTTGGAGTGCTCAAGGCAGTTGGTTGATGTTTTTCTCTCCCTGTCCCTTCCTCTCTCAAAATCAATAAAAACATATATTTAAAAAAAAATACACATTTTCTTGTGGAGAAGATTCAACCATTCAATAGATGTTTATTGTGTCAAAGTTGTACAGAGCATAGCATAGGCATATCTAGGGAACCTGAAATTTGCCCTGTGATCGACGGGCTTTAGCAAGACCTATTGAACCTGTGAGGTTTTCTCTACAAAATTCTGTGATTGTCCTGGACTGGAAGAGGTGTGGAACCAAGATGGTAAAAGGGAGACAGAGCCTGGAAGAAAGTTTGAGGTAGGGGAGCTTGAATTTCCCTGTAGGATAAGGTACCCTGTTTCAGAATTTTTACATCATATTATATTGCTGGTTTTTCCAAAGCATGATTTGTTACTGGTACTTATACAAAAGACAGTAATTTAGAAAGCTAAGATTTATTATCCTCAAAATTAATCTTCCATTGTTAATCTTGTAAATCCTTTAGTTAGTGTTGTACTCTTTTTGAACATTTTGTGTTCACATTTCTGGTTATAGTGTACTTCAAAGTAAATATGGTATAAGGATTATCTTGGCAGGAATGGGAAGGGATCAAGATTGTCATCCTTATTCTGGAGTTTGGACAATATGTTCTGCTTTGTAGAACTGTGCTAATACAAATACAGGTCTAAGTTGCTATTAGATGGTATACACTATAAGGGAATTTTTCCTTCTTAATCTCATTAATCATTTCTGTTTTGTGTCATTGTTCTTTGACACTCTGTACTTTTCTGTGCTTTAATTTCCTTATTAGTGAAATAATTGTTATAATTATTTACATGTATGTATAAATATAAGTATATTTATAACAGAATGATACGATATATAGTAAATGCTCAATAACTGTTACTACTAATATTAACATTAAATCTTATTTTTAAACATTTTAGGTTTCAAGTTTATATTAGGGCATGTGCATGCATTTTAAATACTTTAGGTTTCAAGTTTATTTTAAGGCATGTGCATGCATTTTAACTCTATCCGGTGTATATCACTTGATAAAATTCAGCCAATAGAGATTTTTATGTTCAGTGTTTTTGATTGGATGTCCGAGAAAGAAATTTCTAGAATTGTTATTAACAGTTTATTTTCTTTTCTGAGGAGTCTTACGTCATTTACTGTTTCTGCTCATTAAGGCATCAGTTCTACAACTGGGTTCCATGGCTCTTTGACTGCCATGACATATTTAAAATGCTAGATATGTATGTATATGTGCATGTTTTTCTATAGGACAGGAACATAGCTCTCATTGGAGTCTCAGAGAAGTCTGCTTTAGGGCCACCACTGTAGTGTTAACTTGGTTGGTTATGAACCTGCCAGAGTATAAGTAATTGAGCCATTTTACATTAAGCATTTATTTTACATCAAAATATACATGAGGCAGGCATTATCTTGAATATTTTTATGTTTTCTCTCAAGCATACGAGTGTACTTAACTTATAAAAAAATTACTTTTTAGGCTCTTTATTTCTTTTTAATAGTACAACACGTCTATAAAACAGAATTTTCTAAGAAAAATTAAAACCTATTTGAGTTCATTGTATTGAGTTGTGTGTTTTTTTAATAAGAGAAATTTTATTCTGAAAGTCACATAGGTAGAAGGAGTGAGTGGTAGAAGAAATGGGCTCAGGGAAAAAGTTACAGAGGCAAAAGAAAGGGCCCTTGGAGCTTAGAAGAGAGAAAGCTAAAGGTAATAGGCCTGGGAGAAAGGGGAGGGGGAGGGGAAATGTGCAGCTGTGCTCCGGGGAGGGTGAGCACCCATTTGTGTTGAGTTTAATTTAATTTTAATAACGTCATTCCTTCTGTTGTCATACTTTTGCTAGTTTTTGAGAGATCCCTTTTCAGCCAATTTTTCTAATGATTGAGTGTCTACATATTTAAGTGTCTTTGGGGGATGGGATTAGAAGGGAATGATGATATGTTTTACAATGCTTCTTAATTCAAACAATCTATATTTCTTGAGAATTTTATGAATACAATTAATTTGTATCTACTTGAGTATTCCTACCTCAAGGACATGTTTTTAGAGGACATTTTGTTTTTGTTTTTGTTTTTAATCTTCACCCAAGGATATGTTTTTTCCATTGAATTTAGAGAGAGGAAGGGAGAGAGAGGGAGAGAAACATGGATCTGAGAGAGAAACATCTGTTGTTTCTCACCCCAACTGGGGATCATACCCACAACCTAGGTATATGCTTTAACTGGAAATTGAACCTGCAACCTTTTGGTGTACGGAACAATGCTCCAACCACCTGAGCCACTCGGCCAGGGTAACATGTTTTATTTTTAAGGGCTATTTGGGGTTAGCCCTTCTTCCATCTCCACATTTCTCTGTCGAATTCTAAATAATGTATTTCTCTATTAAATATTTTCATGGGGATTCCATTAGCTTAGTACCCTTATCTCTCTAACCTTATCTAGGTGGAAATGCTTCATGTGTTAGTCCCCCACCCCCCCTTTAGTCTTCAGTTTAATACTTTTATCTGCTGTTTATTGGTAACTAGATAACTTGTATTTCTTTTGCCCTTTTCACCCTTACTTTTGTTCAAACTTAGGTTTTCTTATAATTGCCAGTTCTGGACTAAAAGTTGTTGTTCATTCATCTGTTCAACAGATACATTAAAAAAATTTTTTTATATATCTTTATAGATTTCAGAGACAGGAAGAGAGAGAGATAGAAACATCAATGATGAGTCATTGATCGGCTGCCTCCTGCATGACCCCGCCTGGGCTGAAGCCCAAAACCCGGACATGTGCCCTGACCGGGAATTCGAACCTCAATCTCCTGGATCATAGGTCGATACTCAACCACTGAGCCATGCTGGCCAGGCTCAACAGATGTTTTCAGTGCTAGGCCCTGTGCTAGAATAAGACTAGACTCCTGTTCAGTTAGGCAACTGATATGTGAAAAAATAATTGCCGCAGAAAGTGCTCTAGTGGAGTTATGTACAGAGAGAAAAAAAAGTATGCACTTAACCTGAAGGAATTGCAAACGGCTTCAAAAGTGGAGATAAAATTTAAGCTGGACCTTGAAGTATGTGAATAAGTGTGCGTGAATAGGAGGAAAGAAAGTGAAGATAAAATTCATATTCTTCACTTTACTTTCTCACCTGTCATACTGCCATATCTGTCGAAAATCTATTAAATAGTTCCAGTTAGAGTTAAGCGTTAGGGTTAGTGAGCAGAATTTCAGCTTTCATGGTGCTTTCATTTTAGTAAGAGGAAACAGCAACAAACATATAATAAGTAAATTCTGTCACTGGCTATAAGGTGTAAGTTCTCTGGGAAAATGGGAAGTGGGATCAAGAGTACTGGGGTGGGGGTTGCAATTTTTAATAGTGTGGTTAGTGTGGGTCCATTGAGAAGATGGGATTTAAACAAATTCTTGAACTCCTTTAAAGGAGATAGCCATGTGGAGTTAGCCAAACAGAAGTTTTTAAGACAAAGGGAACACATTTACCATAAGGTAGAAGCAAGCCTGGCATGTTCAGGGGTAGCAAGGAGGTCATTGTGGGTGGGATAGATGGGTAAGCGGGAA